ACTGCAGAGTTTTCCATCGTAAAATCAGACTAAATAAACTGCTTCTATCTACAGAATAAATCAGTCGAAATAATTATTAGCTACATTTTAAGGCTTGTACCTAAAACCAGAAAGACTACTCATAAACTGCAGTAGGTATAAGAAAATCCAATAGAACCTCTCGAAATATACTCAGTATAATGTAGAATCAGTAAAATAAAGAACCACTTTAAATATCTCTAAATATGCAGATCAACATTTAATAGTATCCTTTTAAATATTTTTTAAAGTCAGTTGCCCTTAAAGTAAACAAGAAAATGCCATAACCAATGAACTGTCAAAAATAATAATGCTTTCAAAAGAAAATTCACTTTAGTTAAAGTTTAAGAAGATAATGGTTACATGAAAGGAAAACTTAAGAAGTATCTTATTATTTTACTTTTTATTCATCCTACAGTGTGGGTGGTAAACAATATGGAAAACATTAGATTTTTGATCAATGGGTCTATGTTGAAAAGAGATGGAAAGTGGTTTACAAAAAAACAACAAAGGAAAATGAACAAAGTTTTAGGAAGAAGTAACAATGACTAAAATTACAAAATGAAATTACTGTCTAATTTTAAAATGTACAAATAGTAAATGGTAACACATACAAAAGTGATAGTGACTATTTATTATAAGGGAGAAAATTTAAATTTTGTAACATTTCTAAAGAGGATCAAGGCTAACAAAGAAAATTATTTACTTACTTCACCATGCAATTAATTTAAAGAGAAAGGCAGAGAGGATTGATAAATTGTACAAGTAAAATTGACCAAAGCAATATTTTCATACAACACTGCCACAACTGTAATTAAACTTTTCATTGATTTCCTGGGATTCATTACATAAAATCATTTTGCAACACCAGGATCTCATTAAAAATGAATGTAATATATTCTTTCATTAATAACTCTTAAAATTATATTTTATTTGGTAATCTCATATTTTGGCCCTTCACAAATAAGCATAAAATCAATACTATCAACGAAGCATGACTCATCCAATACAGACTCTGAGACATGGCACTATGGCCCAGGGTAACTCTGAGAATCTAGGATGAATAATATTCTCACACTGCACAGACCTTGACCCATCTCCTCTTCTGTGTGGTTGGTCAGCCAAAGAACTCCAAGCTTTCTCATAAAAAAGATTCAGTAGGAGTCTTCATTAAAGGCAAGCCTTACTACTAGGCTCCATCTTAGCATAACTACAGCTATTAATCAATTCTGAACCAATGGCCTGACCTAAAACTGATATGGCCTCCTTCTCCATGGTCTTACCTGTCTGCCTCCTCCAGTAAGAATTACTAAATATATTCCCTGTAACTAAAGAAATAGAAATACACACACACACACACACACACACACACAAACACAAACACAAACACCACATTTTGAAACAATTATAAACTGACCTGACTGGCCTACAAGAAAGCAAACATCCTGTTGAGAACTGTCTATGAGAACAAGTCAAAGAATTATATGTGGTCTCTTGGAGCTAAGTGCTAAAAGGAAAATAGGGCCCTCAGTCCTGGGATTGCAAAGAAATTAATTCTGCCAACCAACAGTGAAGTTGGAAGGGGACCTTGAACTACAGCTGAAAACAATAAGCTCAACTGACACCTTGCTTTTAGTCCAGTGAGACCCTGAATAGAGACTGGACCAGGCCCACAAGATTTCTGACTTATAGAAATGGTAAAACAATGACTCTTTTGTTTTAAGCTGTTAAGTTTGTGGTAATTTGTTTTGCAGTCATAGAAAACTAGTGCACTGTAAGGAGGGTGGCGTTTAAAAAGATAACTCTAACAGCAACACAAAAGACTGGATGAAGGGGAGAAAATTTACCCAGAGAACGACTTACAGGCCATTGCAGTGTTAGGTGAAAAAAAATAAGGCATGCACTGGATGGCCTTGGTGTAAACAGGGTCAATAAGTATTTAAGGTGGTAACCAGGGCTTCATTGCTGAATAAATAAGAACAGTTATAGTAAGAGCTAAATAATTCAGTAACTTAAAGAATAAATGAAATGTTAAAAGATAAAAGAGAGTGAACTAGCCTAACCTTTCTCCTGGTATAATCATCCCTTCTACAATATTCCGGTATATGCTATCTCCAAATTTGGTGCTAGGAAGTTATTGCTCCCTGAGCAACGTTTCCTGCTCAGAAGAGATCTAGCTACTCCAACATTATCTTGCCAATCAAGTCAAAACCAACTTCCTTGAAATACCTACCAATGGACACAATTTGTGTCTTCTTGAGCAATAATGAATTAATTTTTACTTTTTTGACACAACCCTTCAATTCCCCAAACGCAACTAACCCCAACAGTCTCTGCGTCTACAAGTGAAATATCCTAGAAACCAATCTCACCTGACTTTCTGTTCATACTTTCTAGAAACACTGTTGTTTTTCACTATTTCAAAAGTATTTAGCACAGAACCTGGTAAATAACAGGGTTTAAAAAGTACACTCTTAGTAATTATTAAAATGTAATTCCTAGAATTCTAGATTAAATACTTTTCTGGCCACTAAACTTGGACTTTACATGTGAAAGTTGTGCTTAAAGGAATTTACATACATCAAGCTCCCAATGCTTGGATATTAAACCTCATCTCTCTTCTTCTAGGTGAGTGACCAGATAGCAATCCTTTAAGAAATGTAGCCTATAAATGACAATGATAAAAACAAAACTTTTGTTTCTGAAGAACTTTACAATGCAAAGTGTTTTTACCTTTTTTTAAAACTTTATTAGTTCATTTTTTTTTTTAACATGGTGCTGAGGATCAAAAACAGTGTTCCATACATGCTAGGCAAGCACTCTACCAATGAGCCACAACCCTAGCCCTGTTTCTTAATTCTCAAAAGCAATGCACTTCAAAAGTAGGGAGTGAATACCTTAGGGACATGGTAAGAAAATAAGAGAAGCCTCACTTTTATTTAATCTTTTAATTGTGTGTGTGTGTGTGTGTGTATGTGTGTGTAGTGTGTTAGGGATAGCAAGTGCTCTACTACCAAACTAGATACTCAGTTCTAATTCTCTTTTAAAACCTATATTCGGTGTATTAAAATGAATATACTGTGTATGGGTTCATGTATTTTACTTTTAAGTAACTACACATTTATATATTTATATATAATAGCATAAATTTCATAAATATTTAAGTACACTTGTTTTTTACTTTATTTTTTTTAACCACTGAAACACATCACTAACAAACTTTGGAGAACCCTACTCTAAAACAAACAACAACGCAAGCAATGCTAGTTACTAATGTCTGATTTTTTACACATGGAGAACTGTAAATCAGTTTATGTATAATATTTGGCTCTCTGCTTTATGGGATCTTCTTTAATAAATACTCCAAAGACTAATCTACACAAGAAAATCCCAATAAATGAGGTAAAAATGCACACTCACGCAACTGCCTAGTGGAGTACAAAACCTCAAACCAGCAAGTCAAGTTTTAACACTGTATCCCTGGGAGAGGATCCATCAAGTTTTAAGGGGAACTTCAAAGAGTCACAGAGGAGGGATCTCCTATTCAGGGTGGATCAGAGGAGCCCTACTGTACATAGTTATTTCTGCAAAAGAAGGGGCTTCATTTATCACCTGTAAACCAAGGCTTTATAGGGCCTGCAGTGCAAATTTAGCCAGCCTCCTGAGTCCTAGCCTCACAGAATACTTCTCAGAGCATCAATTAAGCACTTGGGAGGTTTTGCAAAAGGTTTTCTTAAAGAAGCAATTTTATCAAGATTTGTTTTTTTTTAAAGTTCACTAGTTTGAGAATTATTGGTCTCTGAACATAAGCACAATGGATGCACTTCATTTCCTTTCTAACATCATCAATTGAAAGTAATCATAAGGATTATATTTAAAAACTGGTGATCTACATCTTGCTTTATTATCTCTGTCTCTTATTGCCCTATTTTTTTTAAAGCACTCACCCCAAAAGAATTAACTAAAAAACAACATTCCAATAAATCAATCTTGATAATTATCAATTCTGATAAAAGATTGGTAGAAAAATTAAAACCATTGGCTAAATGAGATTTTGAGGTTCTCTATAGATTTCAAATTATCCTTATGATCTATTATATCTCATTATCCTCCGAGGCAGATACTACGTAATATTGTAATCCAAATTCCACGAACCTAAAATGTATTGTCTTTAATTAGAAAGTTGACCAAGAGAAGGAAATTAATGAATTTCCATGTGGTTTTGTTCATGCATGGGTCCAAGCACGGAATAAGTTTTTATTAGCAGATCTCAAAGTACAAAATAATATAACTGAATTCAGAGGCAGGAGTTAAAGTCTCTTCTGATTTTCGAATGAGAACATATTTTTGATTGAAGAGCTGTTCCTATGATTTCCATTTCTATTAACACCTTAAGCTTCAAATGGTTGAATTTCTAATTTAAGTGAATGCTGTAAGTATCACAGGTTGGCAGCATTCTGTGAACTTCCTAATACAGTCATCTTACCAACACACATATCAAAGGAGGTAGTAATTCTTATTGTTAAATTCAGATGATGATGAGAGGCAGAGTATTTTATTCTCAGGCACATTAAAGGATATCAATCAGGGGTAACTGATTACAAACCATAACCACTTCTGGATGAAAGACAAGACTTTTTATAGAGATTTAAAGTAACACAGCTGCAAAACTAAGGACTTATTAGGTAGGGCTTCCTGTCCCCCGCCACCCCCGTATACTTAATGATCAAGGCTAGTGGAAAGTCTCAGAATAAAACTGAATCTCTCAACTTCAATCTTACTGAAAAAAACACTATTACCAAAATGAAACATTTAAGTATGGTCACCAGCGCAATTCACCAGGATGCATTTGGTTTGCATTTAGCAGTCAGAAAAAGGAAAATGAAGTATCCCTCAGGTCTGATAAATACATAAATAAGAATTGTTCAATATTAAGCAAATTATACAACACTGAGATTCTAAGACTGTTCTTTCAATTACAGTTTTTCCTTGAAACAAAGAACTCTTCTACTGTTTTTGAAATACTTTTCCATAAAACCAATGCCTATGAACTAAACTGATGCCTAAAATTGAAAGGTTTAAAAAGTGGAAACGTATCTTTGAAAATGAAGTTGATAAGAAGAAATTGATACTGGAGCAGCTTTTCACTCAAATGGTAAAGCTATATCTCAGTCTCTTATCAAAATTATAAGCTTGATTGTCCAGAGAGTAGATATTATATAAGAAAAACATTTAAAATAATTAAGAATCAACTACATTTGATTATTTTTCACAACACGTGTAACAGGTCAATTAAATGGACCTACTCACTTGTTCATCTGTACACAAATGCATATACAAAGTTTCATTATTTTCTTTTTCACTGAGAATTTTTATTTACTTCCAGTAAGGAAATCATTATGTAACAGTGTTGAGTACATAGTTAAAGTATTCAAGAGAACTTTCTAGCAAGAAGAATCTTTTATAAATAAGTTTTATATTACAAACAAATAAAAGAATTCTATTATTGGTTCTATTATTCCTTTAAGTGAATGTGAAAATCGATAGTCATTTCCCAAGTCTAAAAGTAATTCATAGACTACATTCATGTTTACTACTTATCTAGAGGGAAAAGAAAAGAAAAAAAATTCTACGCTGTAGTCTGCATCATTTAGAAATAAGCAAAGTGAAGTATTTGAGGATCCCTCTAAGCTCCAAAGGAGTACAGTTTTCACAGATTTGATGAACTTTAAGAGCAACATGGTGTGGCTATCTTCAATCCCCTTGTTATGCCCTACACAAAATATGGCAGCAAATTATAAACTTCAGGACATAACGACAGCTGGTGAAAGAGATGTAATAAAAAACAGACTGAGATCTACAAAAACACAGTAGCCCAAAGTCACTGGTTTAGACAGAATGCTTTTCAGCTATAGCTAAGTGATGAACTACTATAGTACAGTAAAATATAGTCATGTGCTGCACATGACATTCTAGCCAACAAGGCATCACATAAACAACAGCGGTCCTGGAAGATTTATATCGCCTAGTGACACTAGCACATTTTAGTTTGTGTAATTAACCCTCTATGATGTTCACACAATGAAAGCTCCTGACAGTGCATTTCTCTGAACATGGTTTTGCCATTAAGTGATGTGTGACTACAATAGATTACCTGTAATTAAAAGGCTAAGCTGTAAAAAATTCTGCAAATGATGTCCACAGAGTTTACTATACATTTTTTTCTTCTCCCAGTAAGCAACTGGTTTTTTTTTAGCACTTATTATGTGCAAAGCACTGGGCTCAACAAAGTGAATTTGACAATAAACAAGACAGAGAAGGTCCCTATTCTCCTGGGGCTTCTACCCTGGTGAAGATTCAAGTTGATGATGCTACTCACAAGAGGGAAGAACTGGCAGAGAGGAGAAAAGGCCA